TACCAACAAACACTGATGACTTCTTCCGTGTTCAAAGGGAAGCGGAAGATTATGCTGAGTAATGCTTCTCAAATGGGTGCAATTTTTTTGATTATTTCTTGAAGACTGTTTTTGTCAAAGTGTTTCTACAGAAGGAACACTTTGTTGTTAATGTAATTTATTATTGGAATAATATGCTTGCTGCATTAAAGCTGATACCAATTAGATTCTCATGTGCATTTAGTCATTTTGAAATAAAAAAACACCTTAAAGAGCATACAAGGACGCCACTTAGCTCACTGAATTGAACAGGTGGCCACAAAATTCTCTGGCCTATTACGGCTGTCCTGCCTGTCTCTGTCCTGTTTCCTGTTTGGCCTGTTTCAAATAAAGGTCACTGGAGCCAACAAACCTTTTTTTGTATGAACATACAAACTAACTTTCTATTATTCATATTATTTCAATATCTGCCTTTCAAAAAAGCAGGAACCCTCAAAATCTTTCATTTAATTTTAGCCCTATGAGGCATATAAAGTCAATCGCATGAATGTTAATTCTTTCCATAAAAATGCATGAAAAAGCCATTATCTTCCACTATAGTACCATAGATAACAGATGTAGAAAAAAACGTTAAATTTCCAACATGTGTTGGTACATGTGACAAAAACATATTTAATTTTTTTCTTTACTAGAAATAGAATAAAATAAAAGTGCCAGTCCTGTCCATCTTTGATTCAAATTAAAAAGTCCTACATTTGAGCATTTATTATATTTGAGTAGCATAGCAATTTATGATAGCGTAGCATTAATATTGTAAAAATACCTATTACTAATAAAAACAGCATGATATCAGTAATGTGTTTTAACATTCAAGCTGAACAGAAGCTTAAATGTAAAATCATAAATGAACACTGGACACATTAAGCAAACACATTGACCAAGTAACGTTCATTATTAGAATCTACAAATTAAACCCAATTGGTTGGTGAGTCCCCTGTGAATTCTGTCAAAGTGTTGAAGTATAATGTGAGCACATTTGTACAGGTGGGGGTGACTCAATCTGTGGTGTGTATTTGAGGTATCTGTTGGGATGATTCAATATGTGATGAAAATTTGTTTGAGGTCAAACATAAACCAAACAGATTAAAAGTTACTTTAAGATTAAGCCCTACAACTCAGTATAACTGTTTTTGTTCTTGAGGATGACTGTAACGTTAAAAAATACATTAACCAAGGAAAAAGGTTGGTTGTTTCTAAGTGAATAAAACCATTTAGTATTTCAAAATCAATAATGAAGGTATCCTTTTCCTATTTTCTATTCAATTTTGGTCATCTACAATTTGGACCTTGCCTAATTCAGTGATTGATTTTCTCCTTTCATCCCACTCAGTATTTTGTTCTTTTGATCTATATTTTCTTTCTTTCTTTCTTTCTTTCTTTCTTTCTTTCTTTCTTTCTTTCTTTCTTTCTTTCTTT